TACTGAGGTTCTTTCTCTTACAGCTTCAGAAGTCAAGCCTCAATATATTCATGGGCATGTTACTTTTTCTTCTTCTGTAAATTTTTTTCTTTAATTTTAATTTATGTTGCTAATAATGCCACTATTAGAAGGAATCTTTAAAATTCTACTACATATATTACTACTAATATTAATGATCCTTGGCTTGTTATGGGTGACTTTAATTGCGTTCGTAAAGTTAATGAAAAGGTAGGGGTTATCCTCCTATACCTTCTAAGCTTACTGATTTTAATAATTAAATTCTCAATTCTAATATATTTGAATTACAAAATATCGGTCATAAGTTGAGTTGGTAGAATAATTACATTAATAATCTCATTAGAAGACAACACTTTCTATAATGCTTCTTTGGTAGAATAATCACATTATTAATATTATTAGATGAAAATGTTTTTTATAATGCTTCTTGGCTGGAATTTTTTTCTTATTCTTTTTTTAGAGTTTTTGATATTTTCACTTTTGATCATTCTTTTCTTTCTATATCTTTATGGGCTTCTTATGTTTCAAAACATAGATTTTTTTTTAAAATAATGTTTTTTTTATTTTTTTTTTTTTTTTGATATTTCAATAATGTTTGGAACATTAATATTAAAAATTATCCTTTATTTTTTCTTTGCAATAAATTGAAGAATGTCAAAGAAGATTTTAAGTATTGGAATTAGTATAATACTAATTTTTGTTCTAATTAGATTAATGAACTAAAAGGAGGTTAATGTTCTTTGTAACGATTTACTTAATCAATCATCTTGTAGACTAGATAGTCTTCATAATGCTCTCTCTTGTAATTATAAATGGTTGAAGTAAAGAGCTAAGTGTGAATGATTATCTAAAAGTGAAGATAAAGCTAAATTTATTTAATAAAAGATTAGAATTAGATATAATTCTACTTTTAGTAGAGAAACTTTTGTCAATAATATTTACTTACATGAGCAAAAGGATATTTCTAATGAAGCCATCTCTTTTTTAAAATTTTTGCTTAATAATTATGTTGATATTCCTTTCTTTATTTTTTTGATAAATTTACTATTATTAATATCATTTCTTCCTTGGATTGTGAAGCCTTAATAAAGGTCTTCTTTATTGAAGAAATTAAAAAAAAATTATTCTATTGAAAATGCAAATCTTCTGGACTCGGCAATTTACTTGTAAGTTTTTAAAAGATTCTTGGAATATTAGTGGGAATGATTGTATTCATGTAATAATTTTTTTTATATTAATAAACATTCTAATAGGGTTAAAAATGTCGTCATCACATTAATCCCTAAAAAAGAAATGTGCTCAAACATTAAATAATTTTCATCCTTTCTCTCATTAAAATACCTTAAATAAGGTCATTTCTATGCTTTAAGCTGATAGACTTAAATATTTTCTTTGTAATATTATTAATCCTATTTAGACCGCTTTCCTTAAAGTGATAGATATTGCTGAAAATATCATTTCAACTAATTAGTTTTTATATTGCTTTGATTATGTTAATTTGAGTAAGAAGTTTTGTTTTAAAATTGATTTGATTAAATCTTTGATAAAAGTAATATGCATTTTCTATACGATAGAATGATCTAATTGGGTTGACCCATTTGTTTTATTCATTTGATTAAGACATGTATGGCTATGTTTATTTTTCTGTTATTATAAATGGTGAAATGAATGTATATTTTTCTTCTTCTTCTAGTTTAATGCAAGGTTATAACTTTTCACTTTATCATTTTACAATTATTATGGTTGGTGTTTCATTCATGTTGGATATTCAAAATATTTATTTATAAAATATTTTAATAAAATTAATCATCTTATATATGTTAATCATCTCTTTTTCTTAGAGATGCTACTCCTATTATGCATCATCTAACTAATGTTCTGAATATTTTTAGTTATGGTTCAAATTTAGTTGTTAATTTTTTGTTTAAGTTTGCTATTTGTTATTCTTAGAACCTTATTAATATTTTGCAACGGACTATATGCGACATTAGGGTATGAATATCAAACCTCTTTCTTGGAAATACCTTGGTATTATGAATAATTCTTCTATGAATGTGATTTATTTCAAAATTATTGTTGATAAGCTTCATAAATGGTTGCCTGGCTGAGAAATAAAAGTTTTATCTATTGCTGGTCATTTTTAATTAATTAATTATACTATTGAAAATTATTTTTATTATTGGTTTCAATCTATTTCCTTACTTAAATGTATTGAAATGAAATTTACTTCTTTGATTAGTAGCTTTTTTTTCAGAATTGAAGTGAGAATAAAATGACTTATTTCTTGGAATAATACATATCCTCCTAAAGTACTTGGAAATCTTGGTATTCTTAATTAAATAATGTTAATTTTTTGTGTAAAGTTAAATTTATTTGGATGCATTTCAATTCTTACTCTTTTTAGCCAAATAGGCTATGGATCACTATGGTACTTTTTAGATTAATATTATATCTAAAATCTCTTAGAAATATCTTATCAAAGTTGCTTTTAAGATTAAACGATGTATTATCTTTCAAGTTAACACTAAAAACGACCTTCTTTTTTTCTTTGATCTTTAGATTATAGGATCCTCTTTGTTTGATCTTTATGGAAATTCAAGTTTTGATTGGTTTTGTTTCCCTAAACTTATCAAAATTAAAGATATCATTGCTAATGACTCTTATTTTTTTCCTCAATATTGAAACATCCCTACTTATTGTTTGAATTATACTCATAGCATCCTTATTATTGATGATTGTTTTAGTTGTCTCAGGAAAGGAAAAAAAAAATTATAGCAATAAAAATATTTAATACTTTATTTATGAAACTTTGCCCATTATAGATTGTAACAGATTAATTTGGTTTAAATGGTATTCTACTAATCTAGCTTTACTTTCTTGGAGAATTTTCAATTCTAGTCTTAAAACTAGTGATATTTTTTACTCTTAAGGTCTTAATGTTAGACTTAATTGGTTTGTTCTTTTTAATGGTTTAAAATCTAAATATAATTTATTTCCTGGTTGTTCATCTTCTCATAGTTTTTTGAGAAACTATATTCCCATTTGGGGTTTTTTTCACTTATGCTAGTAATTTTTTTCAAGTTTTTTATCACGCTGAAAATATTAGTTGTAAAGTTCATCAGAGATTCTATCTTTTAGCTATTTAATTTATTGCTTATGTTTTTTGGTTTGAAAGGAATAATAAATTTTTTAATAATTATAAAACTTCCCAAATGATTAGATCTAAAAGAGTTACTTATATAACATTAGGCTGAAAAGTAGAAAATGGAAATTTCAGTTTGATATTTCAAACTTTATTAAAGTTTTTTAAAATTTGTGTTTGCTGCTATTTTCTTTCATTTCTTTTGTTTGGTGGCTTGTTCAACGGTACTATTTTGGATTTTTTTCTCTGCTCTTCCTTCATTTGTTTGGGTTGCTTTGTGCTTAGGTTTAGTTTGCAGTGTTGTTTTGGTGATTCTATTGCTTTGCTTATTGTGGTTGGCTTGCTTATAGTTTATTTTGATATGTTATGTTTATCTCTCTTCTATTTAAGATGTTTATACTTTGATCTTTTCTTTGAAGTTTTGATTTGGTGAGCTATGATGATTTCCAACCAAATATTAAAATTTAATCGTCCTTTTAAATATCTATTATTCATTTGCTTTAGAAGAAATTTTAATATTTATGCAAGTGAATTCTGAGTTCAACTTCAATGTCATCTTTCTCTTTATATTTTGTTGATTAGTTGGTTTTTCTATTTCCTTTCTTTATTGTTTTTTGTTTTTGTTTGTATTTTTTTCTCTCTTCTTATTTTTTTTATTTGTTTTGTAGATGGTGTTAGAAGTGGAGCTCGGTCCGACCCCCGCTTCCGCTCACCCAATCGCGAAACATCGCGATCTCCCACTCCACGCTCCCGCTTCGATCGCAAAACAATCGCAACCATTCCCGCCTGGCGTCAATTCACGAACCGTAGGCTCCAACTGCTCCCTCCTTCCTCTGCTGTGAAGCAAAGCTTCCCTTCGTTCCTTCCTATTCGTGATAAAAGCTTCGGATGGCTCTCCTTGGGTTTAGGATTCACGTTTTGAGTTCTTCTTTGGTTTCCTCGGGATAGAGAAAGGAAAGTGCAAGAAATAGTTCCTTGCAGCAGAAGGAAGAAAAAAGAAGAAGAAGAAGATTTTTCTCCTTATTGTTCTCCTTTGGCTTCTTCTTGGTGGCTTGTGGCTGAAAAGAAATTGGGTTTATTTCTTTTGTAAATTTATCTTCTTCGGTGTATCTCAGTGTAAAGTTTCTTCGGTGTATCTCGGTGTAGAGAGAGAAGAACAGAGAGAGAGAGAAGAAGAGAGAGCAACAAAGTAAGAGTGAGAGATTTCTCTTGTAAGTTGAGGTGATTGACTGGTGTAAATTTCTCAAGTAGTAAAATCCTCTGCAACTCCGTGGACGTAGGCAATTTGCCGAACCACGTAAATCTTTGTGTTTCATTGTGTTGTTTTAAACTAGTATGAATTTTCTCGTTCTATTTTTTGCTTCGTCGATCGTTCTCCTATTTTATTTATATATATACCACATAAACTGGTATATCTACATCTTGTCACAACAGATGAAAGAACTATTTCAAATTTGGGCGTTTGTTTTGAAGTTATTTATGTCCCTTTCAAGATGGACCATTGCTCGAAATTGGAGCGGTTGTTGTTTTATTTTAATCTTCTATTTTGTTCTTTTAGCATGTCTGATCTATTGGGCTTGTTGTTTTTTACAATTATTGCTATTATAGTTTTGTTGGTTGTGTTTCGTTTCTTTGTTAGTTTCTTTTCATGGTTTTGTGTTATGTTGTATTTGTGTCTTTGTATGCACTTTTTTTTTATATTTGAATAATGTTGTGCGCGACCCTTATTTTTTAAGAAAAATGAACAAACTTGGGTAAACACAGTCAAATCAATGACTACTAAGGATAAACAGAGCAAAATCATCACATACTAGTCTTAACACAATACTAAAAACTCGCATATATTTCATTAGCATTACAGCATAATCATTCCAGATGTCCCCAAAAAAAGGGAAAAATTTTAGATCTCCTAAAGTCTACATAGTCAGAAAATAGAAAGACGATTCATCACTGGTACAAAGAGCATGCTAGATGGTGAGCTCATCACAAGATATAGGAAGAAACAAGGCAGAACTATGAGCACGTACACGCACAAACCTACTTAGATAGAGGTAAAGTTTTGAATATATGACTTCAAGGGCTGCAAAGAAAGGGGGTGGTTTTTAGCAGTCTATGAACGAAGGAGAGTGGAGAATATATGCTGCATTGTTGCTTCAGAGAGACACATGTTATAAATGCTAAGCTTGTTGAATTGATGAAGAAGATTTTACCTTTCAAAGTATAGAGAATGGCAAAGATATAATGTAACGAAAGGGCTATATTTGAGGTGCTTAGTATGTAATATTGCAGTTTGGAAAGTGAGATATATAGTTTTGAATATTTGTTATGCTCTATACCTAAAATCTCCTTTAAAAGCTCATTCTATCTGAAGAGTTATTAGGTGTGGAATTTATATATTTGTGGATTTCACTATAACATGATTGTATATAACCAATACAACTATGTTGTACTGAAGTTGGCATGCATATATGATTCACACCTAATTATTACTCCTTCTATCCACACTGGCTTCAAGCTGTCTGGAACAACTGTAACTGCCTCGAAGTCTCAATGCCTTGAATCCCCACGGATCCCATAAGCATCGAGTATCTTCCTTCCATGTTATCCTCCTTGAAGAAGCTAACCAGGCGCTGCATCAACTTCTTCGCCTCAAAATCCGGCTTTTGAAAGATATGAAACACATGATCTTTTCCCTTGCTCTCAAAAAAGACGGCTTCCCTCCCCCACCCGCTTGCCCTCAACCTCTCATAATAAGCCATCCCTCTCTCCCTCAACAAATCCTTCTCGGAAACACAAACCATCACCCGCCGACTCCCCAGTGCCGCAAGACTCGGTGCACCATCGGCCATCGGGTTCACTCTCGGGTCATCAAGCCCGACAGTCCCTGGGCACACAAACGGCCACAACGCATCAAAATCCTCTGCTTTGAGCATCGACCTCCCCTGCTTCTCTGTCCCCACACTCCCCTTCCCCCAAAAGTACGGGTGTACCAAAGCCAACCCCTCCACTTCCATTCCATTCTCCCCCAACCTAATCCCCATGTTATGCACTATGTTAGCTCCGGCGCTATCGCCGGCGAGAAAGATCTTGCTGAAGTCTCCCTGTTCCGCAAAGCGGAGATCGAGACCGAAGCTGTTATTGTAGGCGTGTTCTGCAACCCAGAGGAGCGCCTCCCATGAGTCTTCGTAGGCGGCGGGGAGCGGGTGCTCCGGTGCGAGGCGGTAATCTACCGAAACGGCGATGATGTCGGCCTCGGCGACGAGGGAATTGAGATAAGAGTGGTAGTGGGAAGAAATGGCGGAAAATGTGCAGAAGCCGCCGCCATGGTAATACACGATGACGGGACGTTTCTTTGGCGGAGAGCGGGACAGGATGGCTGTGGGCGGTAGATAGAGACGGGCGCTTAGACGAGCGGCGGGGTTGATGGTGATGTCTCGGGAGGAGACGCCGGTCCGGGAATCGACAGAGGGCGGGACAGGTCTGGTTGGATACAGGCGGTCGATTCGGCCACTTTGGTATGTTCGGATGAAGGGGAGAATCTCCACGTTTATCTTATCGGCGGCTGGTTGTGGGGCGAAGTTTCCATTGCGTGGGCCTGTGTGGGCCCCAGCCTCCATTTTTTGATGGAGGAAGACGAGGAGATTGATCGCAAGTGGCAAGGAGGAAGGCAATCTATGCTCCTGTATATGTAGGAGCGTGAAGCTAAGATAGGCTTCATGGTCATTAGGTTGGGATCACATGAAAAAAATTGCTACATCACGTAAAGTTGTCTATCAGGACGAGATTGGACTCCACAAACAGCTCTACATATGACGTAATAATTTTTTTAAAAAATTAACATTAAAGAATATTGAAGCGTATGGCTACGAGGGTATCGTGGGTTTCTGTCTTTCTTTATTTTTGGCCTTCTGTTACAATACAATTTCATCCCCACCACAAGTCATTCATTAATCAATTGCTTAAAACTATTAAAAAGTTAAAAGAAACAAAGAAGGTTGCCATGAATTTGTTCTCAGTAAAGCGAAAAATTATTCCATACGGATCGGGCAGATCACCTGATCTACGGTTCTGATGTATTTCGGTGGGCCCCACCGAAAAATTTTTTTTTTTTATAAAAAAAACAGAAATAATCCTGGCCGTAGATCACCGTGATCTACGGCCAGGATCGGACACCGCATACAGAGATGCATGCGGTGTCCGCACGCAATAATCTCTCCAGTAAAGCGGTCGATAAGTGGTTTTGAAAACTTTAATAACCTTAAATATATCTGCAAAGAAATAGTAATCTTTTTTAACACTTACCCACGCGGCCAATGGACGACTGAACAAACAAAGGAATAACCTTAAACCTCATATAAATACATACATACATACATATATATATATATGTGTGTATATATATATGTCTGTATGTATGTATGTATATACACACACACATATATATATATATATATATATATATATATATATACATGGTAACAGAAATATTTCTTCCTTAAGTAATATCATAATGATGCATAATATAAATGTTTTACCCTGCCTTTAATTTATGACAATATTTCACTACCATAAACAAACACATTTGGGTCAAACTAACTTACTAAGAAATTTTTGAATGAGTTTGAGAAAACATTAATTAAGAAAAGAATTGAATAGTCTACCACTCCAAGTTTGCTAAGCGACCCAAAATTTTTAGTTAAACGAATATATAGCCAACAAGTTGTCGAAAACTTACCGCTAACTCAGCCTACAATTACCTGTAGCGCATATTACGTCAGGACTCCGAACGTTGAGGTACGTTCGAATTCTGTGTTATAGGAATATACTTTTGTGTTACATGAATATTCCATGAGTGTTATTTGTAAAAAAAAATGAAGTTTTATTTGAGTATTATGTGGTGTTATTCGATTACTTTACGGTGTTATTGGAATATTCACCCGCGTTACTTGATTTTGGATGGTATTATTTGCATATTCCCTATGTTATTTTAATTTCCACTATGTTATTATTGGAATAACACAACCCCAAATCATGTAAAGTGGGGGAATATTCCAATAACACTTCATGTTTCTCAAATAATGCTGGTAGAATATTCTTATAACACAACGACTATTGCAATCCGAACGTAGCTCTACGTTCAGAGTCTTGACGTAATATTTTTTAGATTAACTACAAGTGAACTTACGCGAAAGAATCATGAGATCGCTCATCAATCGAGGATTCTAACTTGATGGAACTCATTCTTTTGCCTAGAATATTCACAAATGAGCTAAGAATTATTGTCAAAGACTTTTCTAAGTGGATTCACCCTCAATTTAAAACTGATCTAACTAGCAATCAATTACAAGCCTACTTATTTTGCTACATATCTAGCTATGTCAAGTTTTAGACTTTGCCTATGTAATTGAATTATGATGTTAATTTTCCAACATGGGCATTGATCATCATCTATAAATATGAGATTATTGGTCAAGTATAGGTATATGGAATCTCTTATGTCATCTAACTACAATTCTCCATAGAATTTTTGCATGTGGCTCTATTCAATTCCATCTTTTGTATTTGAAAGGGATCGTTCATGTTCTATAAAAATAAATTGTCTTAATAGAATATTTAAAACCTTGCATCTCTTTCTACCATTCTTTCATTTTACTTGATTTATTTCCTTAATAAATTCTTAATATCTTTTATTACATAATTTTGGACTTAATGACCTCCTTGGTGTGATGAGTATTAAGAGCATTAATATAAGAAACCAAAATTTGTATCAACTTGAAGATCGTGATATGTCCTTGCACAACGAGTGGCCTAATGATTATGTCACGTTAAAAAAAAAATTAACATGTGGAGGGCCGTCTGATAAGGATGATATAAAGAATACACAAGTGCTTTTCATGAGCTTCTATGCTCCACTTTCATCTTTTCTGAAAAATATAAGATATTTACTTCATTTAGACAATAATGTTACCAAACTCTAAGAGTTATTATATTGGATCGAACTTAAGATAATAAACCATCTTTTTGAGGAGTTAGGTAGACTCCTCTCCCTTGTCATTATGGAAAGTGTTAGGCTTAACCTACAAACAATTTTTTCTTTAAAATCATGGAGTCACAAACACTGCCATATTTCAAGGTACTTGTGCTTGATTCATTGAAGCCAACCAACGATGTGCTTTGCATTGAGTAGATGTTCTTTCTTCTTAATTTTAGTAGCAATATGAAATACCATCAACTTATCACAATTTAAAATTAGATTACATTATGGCATCTCTCTCATCTATTGGTAAAGCTTAACATTCTTTGACAAGTTTTAGAATTAACTTATGATATATTTGGGAAGAATTTATAAGCTACAAAAGAACAAGTAGACTCTAAATATAAAATAAACTCTAGAAGACTTGGTTTATTATTGTTATCATATTATAATGTAATATTGGAGGAAAACAACTTAGATCACTCACTCAAACAACACTTTTTTAAGGAATCTAAGATGAACTACTACATAGTTAACTAAAAGAAGATAAAACTTGAGTTAGGTTGATAGAGTTGCTTGATGGTCTTATTAACTCCTAAGAGTACAATAATATGATGTTGACTTCTAAGCCTCTTCATTTTGGACATATAAGGATTCATAATGATATACATGAGATTAGTAAAACAAGTCATGTTGATATAAATTTATGATTTCCAAATATTAATAACTAAAAAATACACTAATTGGGGGTGTAACATGTCGGTCTCCATATGGCTAGATGTGGTTTAATTTAGTGTAATATAATATTTAGAAATTAAGTATTTTAATTTAAAGAAAATGGATTGATCCAATTGATTCCTACAGTTTGAATAATCGATCTAACCACGAGTAATGTACTACCCTGAAAGGTAATGCACTACTTGATAATAAATTCAATTAAATAAACTATAGAAATAAATGTCTTTTGTTTTATCTGCAAGTTTGCATGATGACCGACAGATTCTCCTATTCGATATGGGAGTCAAATAGGGTTTATTTTAAGTCTGAGTTTTTTTAATCTCCCTATAAGGGCAAGCCCCTATAATTAATTACATCTTAAGAAAACAGATCACTTGAGAAAACTTTCGATAAAAATTAGGAATCTTTTGTTTTCATGAATTCAAAAGGAAAGTTTTCAACGAACATGATTGTGAAATTTCCAATAGGGATTGGTCCAAAGGTGAAAGGTTTTGTTTTAAGAATCAAATGAAGAAAAAGTAGGGAAGAATAAAGGTCAGGAATAAGTTCTTGGTAATCCCCCAAACTATCCTAATATTTTGCTCAATTTAAGATGATATTAATTTAAGTTAACACTTGCCAATTTTATTAATTAGAGCTTAGATTTGTGTAATGATGATTTACACAAAAAGCCTAGAAAGATAGGAGGTTTTACGTCGAGTGACTACCTCTGAATCCTAAAATAAGTTAGGACATGTTGAATATCGTGACTATCAGGAGCCTAACAAAAAGAGAGGTTTTATGTCATAAAAGACAGCCTCAGAATCCTAAAGATTGTTATTTAAACTAAAGAAAGGTCATGAACAAGCTGCCCACGAAGTCTACCCCAAGTTCCTTATTGAAGTGTCTTCAAGTCTTTGGGTCCTCCGATCTTATTATTAAAAGTTTTATTTGTTTCAATAACTTTATAGTGAATTAATTAAAGGGTAGTGGAGGTATAGTTCAAACCTAGGCCAAGGATAAGTTCACTTAAGCTAAGTAATTCTCTAGTGTTATTATTTCTAGGTTCTCCCTAATCTAAACAACTTTTATTCCTTCATTACATGTCTTTAACACATGCATTCTATGTTTGTAAAAGTAGTAAGAAAAAATAAATTATACTATAAGGCAGCAAATAAAGAAAATAAACAATATTTTATTAGATTAATTATTACATTTAATGAATTAATTAGTGGCAACCTGGTCAAGATGTCTCTGGCTTTGTCGTTCTAAGACATCGAGTGACCTAGTTTACTTACTCCGAAAGGTGGTTGTCAACCAGGATCGG